AGGGAAAGACAGGGTAGTTTCCATTTCTAAATAAAGTAATTTTTATTTACAGCCTAAGACTAGATCTAATTTGTAGAATCAGGGTAACAGGCTTTTTGTTTTGACTTTTTTGTTTTCTCTGTTTTGTTTTTGCTACAGGGTGCATGCATTCGCCAGAGAGAAAGAGAGAGAAAGAGAGAGAGTGAGCGAGAAAAAAATTACCCCCCAGGGGAAATAGCCACCGCAATGCCTTCTTCTCCATTTTCCTCTCTGGAGTTTTGGCATGCACACGTGAGTTTTAAGCCGCTGGGTCTGGGACTCAAACCACAGAGTGGGCTACGTGAGGTCTAGCACCTTTACCTACAAGTCACCCGCTGGCCCATGTTTTCATTTTACTTAGTAGAAATTTTGACCTCCCTGGTTCCTCCTTGCAAAGACAAGAGTTCTTTCACAGTCCAAGGAGCTTACTTAGCATTTTCTAACTATAAAAAGCATCCTTCAGGGCTGGCTTATAGTCTAGACAGGGGTGCCAGATGCCACATGGCTAACCATAGGTCCCATCCTGGCCCTGGTGGCTTGAGAACACACCAGGCATGTGTGCATACATGTTCCAAATCCTGACAAGATGGAGAAATGGAGAAGGAACTGAGATGCCACCATGCCAGATGCTACCATTAGGAGGTGCTTCCCAACTCTCTTTTTGGCAAGTGTACCACACTTAGCAGTTAGCAAACAAACAAAACAACCTTCAGACAGTACCAGCCTCACTAACAGTAACCTCTAACAGTGTTATCATCACTGTTTCCAGAGCACTTACTATGTGAGTACAGAGGAGCCTCTGATCTGCAATTATAGTACGACGCTGGTGTCTGGCAAAGCTTTCTGGGAAAGATAATTTCCAAACTGAGTCTTAAAGGATGAATAGGATTTGGACATCCAGGAAAAGGATGCTCTAGGTTTAGAGAAAAGTGTACAGGAAAGCTGGAAGCTGGACTATTCTTTCTGAGAACTTCCATGTGTTTCAACCTGGCTAACGTACTGGGCAGTAGGTTGGGGGAGGTGACTATGTAGGGGAAGAACAGCAACAGGTGAGGCTGGAGGGGCAAAGTGGGGGCAGAACATAAAGAGCCTTGAATGCCAGGCTAAGGGAATAGACTTTAGCTGAGCAGCCTCAGGACAGAAGGGAATACAGGGGAGAAATGCGATCACATGTTGGCATTTTTGAAAAATTTTTGTGATGGGGCTGGCAGGTGGCATGGTGGTTAAAGGCACTGGATTCCCACATGGCCAATTGTGGTTCAAGTCCTGGATCTGGTGGCTTGCTTTCTCACTCCTCCCTCTCTGATCAAACTGGAAAATAAAAATAATAAATAAAGTTGACAAATAATAATTCTAAAAAAAAAATCTTTGTGATGACCATTGGAAAAGGTGGCCTGATGGGGTAATGTTTATATCAACAGAGGACAGCTAACGGCACTATGTGAGAGCAAACTTCATTATAATGTACTGATTGCCAAATAACAAAACCCCACAAGAAATCTAGAAAGTCCTTGGGGCAGGGCTGGACACCTCAAAAGGTAAGAACTACAAGCATAATACTTTGTTTCTGTGAAAAAAAGAAAAGCTGACGGGAAGTTCATTTTCCTTACAGTAAATGAACAGCATTCTTGGTGTCCTCAGAGGACTATACACTTCAGAATTACACAGGCTTGGATCCAAATTTACCTGGTCTGTATAATTACAAACAAGTTTCTTCACTGCTCTGAACCTGGAGGAAGGGTGACACACTGTCGCCACACCCTCTGGAGGGTGTGTCTTTCCTTCTCTCATACTCTCAAGCGCACTCATACACAATGCAGAAGAAGAAAAAGAACAAATGGCTTATGAGTGCAGGGTTACAAGAATGGCTCTGCATATACCTCTCTTCCAAGCCTAAGAGATTAGCACTAAACATGGTCCTTCTATCTGCTCAGAAGCACCACAAATACTTTCTCTGTTCTGGAATTCATTTGCCTACCATTCCTCACTTGGTTGGGCCTGGGCAGCCAACCAAACCTAGAATCCAGAAATAAGTGTAAGTCACAAAGCTAACTATCAGTACATCAAAGCTCTGATCAAAACCTGTTGGTGGGGGACCAGCAGTTAGCGTAATGGCTATGTCACTGGACTCCCATGTAGTTGACCACGGTTTGAGTTCCAGACCCGGTGACTTAAAACTCATGCCAGGTGCATGTGTGCCCAAGATCCCGAGAGGAGAAGGAAGGAGAAGGGACTGTGGTGTGGCCATCCACCCTGGGGGGTGAGTTCTCGCTTTCTGTCTCTCTGTCTCTCTGGCGAGTGCACGTGCCCTATAGCAAAAAAAAAACCCAACAAAACAAAAAACAAAACAAAACAAAAAACTGTTGGTGGATCTTTTTGGTTTATAGGCTAAGCCTATGCCTCTTTTAAGGTTTTTTTTTTTTTTTTTTTTTTTTGGTGTGTGATAGGGTGAGTGCACTCATGAGAGACAGAAAGTGAGAAATCACCCCAGGGGTGGGGAGGGATGGCCATACCACAATCCCCTCTCCTCCAGTCTCCTCTTGGGTCTTGGGCATGTATGCATGCATGTGCCTGGCATAATTTTTAAGTCTCTGGGTCTGGAACTTGAACTACACATTCGGCCATGTGGGATCCAAAACCTTAACGCCCATGCCACCAGCTGGCCTGCTAAGTCTGAGCTCTTTAGCTTGCCATTGAAGACCCTCTGGATATGGTTTCTGAGGTCTTCTCCACCCTCCTCTCTTGCCACAGATGCTGTGAACTACATATGGAGAACTGTCACTCCTCTAACGTGCCATGCTATTTTATTCAGCTGTGCCTCTCCATGTGGCCTCTACCCAGAAAAAACTTTATAGTGGAAAAATCTGGTAATAACACCTCATCCAAAGCACATCACCTTAACCAAGTGATTCAAGTTAACATCACCAATAATAATTGAAAAAGATTTAGACATGTGCTCATGATATAAAACACTGTGAAGGACATAATGTCATTTATATGCTATTTTTGCCAGAAATGCATAAAGAAATCTAATTATAAGGAAACACACTAAAATTGAGAGATTTTTGTGCAAAATTAATGATCTATTTACTTCAAATATTATTAAAGACAAAGGCCAGGGGCCAGGAGGTGGCATGGTGGTTAAGGCATTGGACTCTCATGTGGCTGACCACAGTTCAAGTCCTAGACCCCAGCAGTTTGAAAATCACATGAGGCATATGTGCATGCTTGCCCAAAATCCTGAGAGGAGACTGGAGAAGAGATTGCAGTGTTGCAGCATGGCAGTCTCCCTAAACGGTGATTTCTCACTTTCCCTGCCTCTGTGTTTTTCCAGCAAGTGCATGTACCCTATGGCAAAAATCTAAAAAGACAAAGGCTAAGAAACCACTTCATATTAAAGAAGATAAAGACACTTAAAAACTAAATATAGACCCAGCTGTGGTGCGGCGGTATCTGTCTCTTTCTCACGAAATAGACTTCAAAACAAAACAAAACAAAAAATCCCCAAACTAGGTACCAGCAGATAGCATAATGATTATGTTATTAGACTCCCACGTACTCAGTCAAATATGGTTCAAGTCCCAGACCTGGTGGCTTGAAACTCATGGAGGGTACACGTACATGCATGCCCAAAATCCTGAGAGGAGAATGTAGGAGAAGGGACTATGGCATGGCTATCCCCTCTGAGGAATGATTTCTCACTTTCTGTTTCTCTGTCTCTGTCTCTCTAGAGAGCACATGTACCCAATAGCAAAAATCTCTCTTAAAAAACAAAACAAAACAAAGCAACTAATTGTAATATATGACCCTAGATTAACTCCTAGATCAGAAATAGAAACAAAACTGTTACAAAGGACAATGAGATAGTTTGCAAAAGTTGAATTAGCTCTGTTATTTAGGTAATAGCATTGCACCATGTTAAACAGTTCGATTTTGATACTAGTATTGTGGTTATGTTGGAAGTAAAGCAGAATGATGTCTTACTTTCAAATGGTTATGGAAACAGAGAGAGAGAGCAAATAGAAAGACAAAGCAAATGTGGCAAGTGCGTAACTGGTGAATTTGGGTGAAA